GCATTCCATGTTATCTCTTTCGTACCTGGGTCTAATTTATTTTTTTCTCCCCCTAAGGTTGGGAACACTGTCTCATTGAAATAACAGTCTGCAAACCGTGCTGTGAATAAGTCACCACTCATCGGTTCGAGATATTTTATTATTGAGAGAGATTCAAAACCAACATAAATTCTCAACCTTCTTTGATGACCCATTTTTGTACGATGAGGTGGAGCAATTGGAACATAAACAGCACAACATGAATTCTCAACCTTCTTTAATGATTTTATGCATCATTACCTGGCCTGTGTGACCTAAACGGTCATGCCACAACATGAATGTTTTCTGATCATCTAACTTTGTGTTAGAAACCAAATTTATTTCAAATGGACTAATATATGTGAAATATAGTCCTCAGGAATATGCTGGCATTTTTCACAAATATATTTAGTGTCAGATTTAGTTGTAGTAAGACAAATATATTCCTTTTGGTTTTCATTCATGGTTTCTATGTGATAACCATTTTCACGCATATCTTTAAAGCTCAATAAATTTCTCCGCGATTTGAAGGAGTATAAAGCGCCATTTATAATTATTTTTGTCCCATTAGGGAGCATCACATATGCTTTCCCAGAGCCTTCAATGAGCTTCGCAACACCTGATATTGTATTGACTTTAGCTTCAACTAAAGTCATTTGAGAAAAATATATTTTATTTCTCAAAATGGTGTGCGTTGTGGCGCTGTCTATCATACATAGCTCTTTATCATTTGAATGATCCATATCTTCAATACATATAAATAAACATAAGCTTGATCACAGATTATGCATATTATTGATCATAAGAGTGCATACATTACACACATTTATTTAAAAACAAAATAAAAGAAGAAAAAGTACATAAAATTTAACTAGTATTTTACAACAGAAGGATTCTACTATTTTATTTTGTAACATTTTGGTTTATGGCAAAAGCATCATCCATAATGGCATCATCCGCAAAAAAATCGGCTTCGTCAAATTTTGGCATAGGTGGAGCTCTATCATTGACATAATTGGTTTCCACATTTTTGCCTTTGTTTAGATTCATGGAAGCTTGAAATAACTCCACCAGGTGTTTAGCCGTACGGCATTTATTAGCCCAATGCCCCGTCATACCACACTTATAACAAGTCGTCTTTCGCGAGGATTTTGGAGGGCGGTTTATTTGATGGGCTTTTTGTTTGCCCTTGCCCTTGTAATTTGGTCTGTCGACCTGTTTATATCCTCGGTGAGGCTTGTTATTATGACCACTAAAATGCCCACGTTTAAAATGCCTTCGAGGGCCACTGTGTGTTGCATTTCATTCAGTGGCTAAATTATGGCCAGATGGACCATAAATCGAAGGACTAGAACCGGTGGGTCTCAAGTTGTGGTTCTTCATTAAAAGGTCATTATTTTGCTCAGCTACAAGTAAAACTGATATTAAGTCAGAGTATTTTTTAAAACCATTTTCTCTATATTTCTGCTGTAGCAGCATATTAGTAATATGCATGATAGAAAAAGTTTTCTCCAATATATCAATATCAGTAACTTTTGTCCACATAACTTTAATTTAGATGTTATTTGGAACATAGCATAATTATAGTCACTGATTGATTTAAAATCTTGGAATCTTAAATTGATCCAGTCGTACTGAGCTTTAGGCAAAAGTACCTTTTGTTGATTGTCATACCTCTCCTCTAAATTGTCTCATAATTCTTTTGGGTCATCAACCAAAGATATTCAGATTTGAGACTTTCATGAAGATGGTGACGGAGAAAAATTATAGTTTTCGCTTTATCCTGGGAAGATGATTGATTAATAGCCTCAATAGTGTCTCCGAGACTATTAGCCTTCAAATGTGCTAAAGCATCAACTTTCCATTCCAAATATTTTTGACCGGACAAATCAAGAACGTCGAATTCTCTTTTGCTAATATTTGTCATACTACAAAATTATTATTTTAAACTTAATTAGAAATGTGGAGTAAATTAACAAGAACTCTTATTTTGAGACTTTCATATTATTTTACTCCTATTTAGGGCAATAACTTTAGAAATATTGGTATTTACATTTTAGAATTATTAAGTAATAACACTAATATGTAAATATTATTAAATGACCTATTTTATCATTATATGTGTAATATAGTTGGCACAAATAAAATTCATTGATTTGTTCAAATTATTACTACGTACAACGGTTCAACTTATTACATTCCTTATTGCCATTATTAGTATTATTAATTAACTAATTTTAAGACAAATTAAAATTAAAGGCTTGTGAGGAGAAAAGTTATCTACTGCTCCGTATCACATCTATCATTATTTTAAAATAGTCTTCGATCCCAAGTCCTAACAATCAACTGACATCTCATTTTGTTGGGCATGAATGAGATGCAAAAGCAGCTTGAATCGGATATGTAGACGCTGGATACTTATCAGATCCTCAAAAGGCGAAATCACAAACCGGGTACGTATTTACTTATGGTAACACCGCAATCTCATGGAGATCTATGAAGCAGACATTGACAACTATATCATCAAATCATTCAGAGTTAATTGCATTATATGAATCCGGAAGAGAATGTGTGTGGCTGCGGTCTATGATTCAACACATCCAAAATGAATGCGGTATGAAACCTATTACTTGTCACCCGACTGTGATCTACGAAGACAACACTGAGTGCATAGCTCAGATTAAAGAAGGCTACATCATAGGAGACACAACAAAATACATATCACCAAAGTTCTTTTCTACTCATGATCTGGAGAAAAAAGGGACGATCAACATTCAACAAATCAGATCTAGTGAAAATCCGGCTGATCTCTTCACCAAATCTTTACCCCGATAAAGTTCATAGAACTTGGATATCTGATTCTCCAGATGCTTGGTCATCTAGATTTTTTAATAAATATGAGTAAATTTCTAAGACCAGTAAAGAGTTGTAGTTGTTGGGAAGGAGGTTCTCAAAATCATTATACTAACTTAAAGAATTCATATAACTACCATTTATCTTAAGATTTGATGAGCTTTGGAAAGAGTTGGTAGAGACCAAGCATAACTACCATTATTCTTTCACTATTGCGTTTAAATCTAAAATTTAAAAAAAAGTAGACATCAAGCCCAACTAGAAAAAAATCATGATTTGTAAGAAACGAAGTACGATTAGTGCTATTTAGGAGTTTTTAACTGATAACTAAAACAGCATGTAACAGATCGGAGTATATATAACACTTTGGTTATTCTAGCAACAAACAATACAACACAAAAGAATGAGGACATCAACCTGCAACTAATTACAAAAGTAATTTAACAAAAAGTATTCATTCATTTAACCCAAGCGATAGAATAACCCTTCTGATCGTAGTAATACTACCTCACACCGAAAAAACTTCACTTAATACTTTAGGATTCTGAATATCAACTTTTCATACATGAATTCTTTTTAGAGCTATGATAAATTTTAGTTATAAACAACAAATTACAAACTCTTATATATATAAATGTAAAATTTCAAAAAGGTAGACATAATAGAACTTAACTGGAAAATGAACTCATTATTTGAAAGATACGAAGTCTGATCAGTGTATGAAAAATAAAAACCAAACTAAGCCAATCCGAGATGAGTTTAAACACACTGCAAATAATCAAACTTATGTTGTGAAAATAAAACATGAAAAGTCCAACACTCATCTTAGCTTTATAATGCCCACTCCTAAATCCAGTTTCAAAATGCTCGGAGCTTCACAGTACGCGTCTGCGACCTATATAAAGCCAAACACAATCCGAAATGATTTTAAACGCACCGCAAAGCAATCAAACTTACGCAATGAAAATAACTTAGACAATAAACTTAACAAACTTTCATATAAAATCGAATATCCGATTCTCCTGATTCTTGGCCATCTAGATTTTTGAGTAAAAATGAGTAAATTTACGAGACTAGTAAAGAGTTGTAAAGTTTTTTTGAAGGAGGTTCTCGGGATCTTTATACTAACTTAAATGTAAAATTTTGTAAAATGTAAAATGTAAAATGTAAAATGAAAAGTCCAACACTCACCTTAGCTTTATAATGCCCACTCCTAAATCCAGTTTAACAATGCTCGGAGCTTCACCGTACGCGTCTGCGACCTATATAAAGCCAAACATAATGTTAAATAATTTTAAGCGCACTGCAAAGCAATCAAACTTACGCACTTAAAATAACTTAGACAATAAACTTAACAAACTTTTATATAAAATTGGATATGTGATTCTCCAGATGCTTTGCCATCTAGATTTTTGAGTAAATATGAGTAAATTTACGAGACTAGTAAATAGTTGTTTAAGTTATTCAGAAGAAAGCTCTCGGGTCATAACTCAATAAATTTAATCAAATACCATTTATCTTAAGGTTTGATGCCCTTTGCAAAAAATATACAACTGCCCACCCAAAACTACGAGTTGAGAAATTAGTTTTAAACTACTATTTTTCTTCACTGCTTTTAAATGTAAAATTTTAAAAAGGTAAACATAATAAAGCTTAACTGGAAAATAACCTCATGATTTGCAAGAAACGAAGTATGATCTGTGTTTGAAAAAATAAAAACCAAACCTTGGTCAAGTAAATATGAGTGAATTTCAGAGACTAGTAAATAGTTGTTTCAGTAATTAAGAAGAAATCTCTAGGCTCTTAACCCAATAAATTCAACCAAATACCATTTATCTTAAGGTTTGATGCCCTTTGCAAAAAATATACAACTGCCCACCCAAAACAACGAGTTAGGAAATTAGTTTTATACTAATATTCTTTCTTCATTGATTTTAAATGTAAAATTTCGAAAACGTAGACATAATAGAGCTTAACTGGAAAATAAACTCATTATTTGCAAGAAACAAAATATGATCGGTGTTTAAAAATAAAAACCAAACTAAGCCAATCCGAGATGAGTTTTAAAACACACTGCAAATAATCAAACTTATGCTGTGAAAATAAAACATGAAAAGTCCAACACTCACCTTAGCTTTATAATGCCCACTCCTAAATCCAGTTTAACAATGCTCGGAGCTTCACCGTACGCGTCTGCGACCTATATAAAGCCAAACATAATGTTAAATGATTTTAAACGCACTGCAAAGCAATCAAACTTACGCACTTAAAATAACTTAGACAATAAACTTAACAAACTTTTATATAAAATTGGATGCTTTGCCATCTAGATTTTTGAGTAAATATGAGTAAATTTACGAGACTAGTAAAGAGTTGTAAGGTTTTTTGGAAGGAGGTTCTCGGGATCTTTATACTAACTTAAAGAATTCAATTAACTACCATTTATCTTAAGATTTGATGGGCTTTGGAAAAAGTTGGTAGAGACCAAGCATAACTACCATTATTCTTTCACTATTGCTTTTAAATGTAAAATTTAAAAAAAGGAAGACTTCAAGCCCAACTAGAATAAACTCATGATTTGTAACCAAACCCAAGAAACGAAGTATGATCCGTGTTTGAAAAAATAAAAACCAAACCTTGGTCAAATAAATATGAGTGAATTTCAGAGACTAGTAAATAGTTGTTTCAGTAATTAAGAAGAAATCTCTAGGATCTTAACCCAATAAATTCAACCAAATACCATTTATCTTAAGGTTTGATGCCATTTGCAAAAAAATATACAACTGCCCACCCAAAACAACGAGTTAGGAAATTAGTTTTATACTAATATTCTTTCTTCATTGCTTTTAAATGTAAAATTTCGAAAACGTAGACATAATAGAGCTTAACTGGAAAATAAACTCATTATTTGCAAGAAACAAAATATGATCGGTGTTTAAAAATAAAAACCAAACTAAGCCAATCCGAGATGAGTTTAAAACACACTGCAAATAATCAAACTTATGCTGTGAAAATAAAACATGAAAAGTTCAACACTCACCGTAGCTTTATAATGCCCACTCCTAAATCCAGTTTCACAATGCTCGGAGCTTCACCGTACGCGTCTGCGACCTATATAAAGCCAAACATAATGTTAAATAATTTTAAACGCACTGCAAAGCAATCAAACTTACGCACTTAAAATAACTTAGACAATAAACTTGACAAACTTTTATATAAAATTGGATATGTGATTCTCCAGATGCTTTGCCATCTAGATTTTTGAGTAAATATGAGTAAATTTACGAGACTAGTAAATAGTTGTTTAAGTTATTCAGAAGAAAGCTCTCGGGTCATAACTCAATAAATTTAATCAAATACCATTTATCTTAAGGTTTGATGCCCTTTGCAAAAAATATACAACTGCCCACCCAAAACTACGAGTTGAGAAATTAGTTTTAAACTACTATTTTTCTTCACTGCTTTTAAATGTAAAATTTTAAAAAGGTAAACATAATAAAGCTTAACTGGAAAATAACCTCATGATTTGCAAGAAACGAAGTATGATCCGTGTTTGAAAAAATAAAAACCAAACCTTGGTCAAATAAATATGAGTGAATTTCAGAGACTAGTAAATAGTTGTTTCAGTAATTAAGAAGAAATCTCTAGGCTCTTAACCCAATAAATTCAACCAAATACCATTTATCTTAAGGTTTGATGCCCTTTCCAAAAAATATACAACTGCCCACCCAAAACAACGAGTTAGGAAATTAGTTTTATATTAATATTCTTTCTTCATTGCTTTTAAATGTAAAATTTCGAAAACGTAGACATAATAGAGCTTAACTGGAAAATAAACTCATTATTGGCAAGAAACAAAATATGATCGGTGTTTAAAAATAAAAACCAAACTAAGCCCATCCGAGATGAGTTTAAAACACACTGCAAATAATCAAACTTATGCTGTGAAAATAAAACATGAAAAGTCCAACACTCACCTTAGCTTTATAATGCCCACTCCTAAATCCAGTTTAACAATGCTCGGAGCTTCACCGTACGCGTCTGCGACCTATATAAAGCCAAACATAATGTTAAATGATTTTAAACGCACTGCAAAGCAATCAAACTTACGCACTTAAAATAACTTAGACAATAAACTTAACAAACTTTTATATAAAATTGGATATGTCAATCTCCAGATGCTTTGCCATCTAGATTTTTGAGTAAATATGAGTAAATTTACGAGACTAGTAAAGAGTTGTAAGGTTTTTTGGAAGGAGGTTCTCGGGATCTTTATACTAACTTAAAGAATTCAATTAACTACCATTTATCTTAAGATTTGATGGGCTTTGGAAAAAGTTGGTAGAGACCAAGCATAACTACCATTATTCTTTCACTATTGCTTTTAAATGTAAAATTTTAAAAAAGGAAGACTTCAAGCCCAACTAGAATAAACTCATGATTTGTAACCAAACCCAAGAAACGAAGTATGATCCGTGTTTGAAAAAATAAAAACCAAACCTTGGTCAAATAAATATGAGTGAATTTCAGAGACTAGTAAATAGTTGTTTCAGTAATTAAGAAGAAATCTCTAGGCTCTTAACCCAATTAATTCAACCAAATACCATTTATCTTAAGGTTTGATGGCCTTTGCAAAAAATATACAACTGCCCACCCAAAACTACGAGTTGAGAAATTAGTTTTAAACTACTATTTTTCTTCACTGCTTTTAAATGTAAAATTTTATAATGGTAAACATAATAAAGCTTAACTGGAAAATAACCTCATGATTTGCAAAAAACGAAGTATGATCCGTGTTTGAAAAAATAAAAACCAAACCTTGGTCAAATAAATATGAGTGAATTTCAGAGACTAGTAAATAGTTGTTTCAGTAATTAAGAAGAAATCTCTAGGCTCTTAACCCAATAAATTCAACCAAATACCATTTATCTTAAGGTTTGATGCCTTTTGCAAAAAATATACAACTGCCCACCCAAAACAACGAGTTAGGAATTTAGTTTTATACTAATATTCTTTCTTCATTGCTTTTAAATGTAAAATTTCGAAAACGTAGACATAATAGACCTTAACTGGAAAATAAACTCATTATTTGCAAGAAACAAAATATGATCGGTGTTTAAAAATAAAAACCAAACTAAGCCAATCCGAGATGAGTTTAAACACACTGCAAGTAATCAAACTTATGCTGTGAAAATAAAACATGAAAAGTCAAACACTCACCTTAGCTTTATAATGCGCACTCCTAAATCCAGTTTCACAATGCTCGGAGCTTCACCGTACACGTCTGCGACCTATATAAAGCCAAAGATCTTGTTAAATGATTTTAAACGCACTGCAAAGCAATCAAACTTACACACTTCAAATAACTTAGACAATAAACTTGACAAACCTTTATCTAAAATTGAATATGTGATTCTCCAGATGCTTGGCCATCTAGATTTTTGAGTAAATATGAGTAAATTTACGAGACTAGTAAAGAGTTGTAAAGTTTTTTGGAAGGAGGTTCTTGGGATCTTTATACAAACTTAAAGAATTCAATTAACTACCATTTATCTTAAGATTTGATGGGCTTTGGAAAAAGTTGGTAGAGACCAAGCATAACTACCATTATTCTTTCGCTATTGCTTTTAAATGTAAAATTTAAAAAAGGAAGACTTCAAGCCCAACTAGAAAAAATTCATGATTAGTAACAAACGAAGTATGATTAGTATTGTTTAGGTGTTTTTAACAGATAACTAAAACAGCATGTAACAGATCAGAGTATATAAAACACTTTGGTTGTTCAAGCAACAAACAATACAACACAGAAGAATAAGGACATCAACCTGCTACTAATTACAAAAGTAATTTAACAACAATATCAAAAAGAATTTCAACTTTTCTTACATGAATTCTTTTTAGAACCATGAAATTTTTTAGTTATAAACAACAAATTAAAGGGAAGATAAAACTTTTGAACAAACAAACTTAAACTCACAATATAAAAAAAAAAAAACTAACGCTTGCAATAAAGTCATTCTTGTCAATTACTAGAAACTAAAAATCACAACACTTACTCAGTCTGAATCACCCACGCCTACCTCCAACTTCAATGTGCTCGAATCTTGATGTTGTGCTTCTGTGTATGACCTACGTAAAGCCAAACAAACCCCAAACGGATTTTTTTTAAAAACTGAAGGGGAAAATATATCATACAATAAACTTAACAAATTATGTGATTACATTGCTTTACAACTTTCTCAACGTTAGCCTGTTCGTAAAATTAAAACCAAATAAGGCTAATCCGAGATGATTTTAAACACACCGCCAAATAATCAAACTTATTCATTTCTTCACTAAAATAAAAACCACGACACTCACCTAAGCCCGATGACACCCACTCTTACTTCATAGAGCTCCAACCTCCGCCATATGCAATCTGCAGCCAGTATAAATAAAAGCACAATCCGAAACAATTTTAAACACCACCAAATAATTAAACTTCCGCTCTGAAAATAAATTTAAAATAAACTTTACAAACTCTTATATATATAAAGTAATTTCAGATTCTCTTGACGCTAGCCCATCTAGATGGTCGAATAAATATGAGTGAATTTCAGAGACTAGTAAATAGTTGTTTCAGTAGTTAAGAAGAAAGCTTCCGGCTCTTAACCCAATAAATTCAATCAAATACGATTTATCTTAAGGTATGATGGCCTTTGCAAAAAATATAAAACTGCACACCCAAAACTGCGAGTAGAGAAATTAGTTCTAAATTACTATTCTTTCTTCACTGCTTTTAAATGTAAAATATCAAGAAGGTAGACATAATATAGCTTAACTGGTGAATTGCAAGAAACGAATTATGATCAGTGTTCGAAAAAAATAAAAACCAAACTAAGCCAATCCGAGATGAGTTTAAACACACTACAAATAATCAAACTTATGCTGTGAAAATAAAACATGAAAAGTCCAACACTCACCTTAGCTTTATAATGCCCACTCCTAAATCCAGTTTCACAATGCTCGGAGCTTCACAGTACGCGTCTGCGACCTAAATAAAGCCAAACACAATCCGAAATGATTTTAAACGCACTGCAAAGCAATCAAACTTACGCACTGAACATAACTTAGACAATAAACTTAACAAACTTTTATATATAAAATCGAATATCCGATTCTCCAGATGCTTGGCCATCTAGATTTTTGAGTAAATATGAGTAAATTTACGAGACTAGTAAAGAGTTGTAAAGTTTTTTTAAAGGAGGTTCTCGGGATCTTTATACTAACTTAAAGAATTGAATTAACTACCATTTATCTTAAGATTTGATTGGCTTTGGAAAAAGTTGGTAGAGACGAAGCATAACTACCATTATTCTTTCACTATTGCTTTTAAATGTAAGATTTTAAGAAAGGTAGACTTCAAGCCCAACTGTTTAGGAGTTTTTAACTGATAACTAAAACAGCATGTAATAGATCGGAGTATATATAAAACTTTGGTTGTTCTAGCAACAAACAATACAACACAAAAGAATAAGGACATCAACCTGCACCTAATTACAAAAGTAATTTAACAAAAAGTATTCATTCATTAAACCTTATCGATAGAATAACCCTCCTGATCGTAGTAATACTAACACACTCTGAAAAAACTTCACTTAATACTTTAGGATTTTGAATATCAACTTCTTACATGAAAAGTCCAACACTCACCTTAGCTTTATAATGCCCACTCCTAAATCCAGTTTCACAATGCTCAGAGCTTCACCGTACGGGTCTGCGACCTATATAAAGCCAAACATAATGTTAAATGATTTTAAATGCACTGCAAAGCAATCAAACTTACGCACTTAAAATAACTTAGACAATAAACTTAACAAACTTTTATATAAAATTGGATATGTGAATCTCCAGATGCTTTGCCATCTATAGATTTTTGAGTAAATATGAGTAAATTTACGAGACTAGTAAAGAATTGTAAGGTTTTTTGGAAGGAGGTTCTCAGGATCTTTATACTAACTTAAAGAATTCAATTAACTACCATTTATCTTAAGATTTGATGGGCTTTGGAAAAAGTTGGTAGAGACCAAGCATAACTACCATTATTCTTTCACTATTGCTTTTAAATGTAAAATTTAAAAAAAGGAAGACTTCAAGCCCAACTAGAATAAACTCATGATTTGTAAGAAACGAAGTATGATTAGTACTGTTTCGGTGTTTTTAACAGATAACTAAAACAGCATGTAACAGATCGGAGTATATATAACACTTTGGTTGTTCAAGCAACAAACAATACAACACAGAAGAATAAGGACATCAACCTGCTACTAATTACAAAAGTAATTTAACAAACAATACAACACAGAAGAAAATTGCTTTACAACTTTCTCAACGTTAGCCCGCTCGTAAAATCAAAAACAAAGAAGGGCAATCCGAGATGATTTTAGACACACCGACAAATAATCAAACTTATTCATTTCTTCCCTAATATAAAAACCACAACACTCACCTAAGCCCAATAACACCCACTCCTAAATTGAACTTCATAGTACTCCAACCTACGTCATATGCATCTGCGACATGTATAATAAACTTACGCTCTAGAAGCTAGCCCATCTAGATGGTCGAATAAATATGAGTGAATTTCGAAGACTTGTAAATAGTTGTTAATGTTATTCAGAAGAAAGCTCTCGGGTCTTAACTCAATAAATATACAACTGCACACCCCAAACTGCGAGTAGAGAAATTAGTTCTAAATTACTATTCTTTCTTCACTGCTTTTAAATGTAAAATATCAAGAAGGTAGACATAATATAGCTTAACTGGAAAATAAACTCATGATTTGCAAGAAACGAAGTATGATCAGTGTTCGAAAAAAAAAACCAAACTAAGCAAATCCGAGATGAGTTTAAACACACCGCAAATAATCAAACTTATGCTGTGAAAATAGAACATGAAAAGTACAACACTCACATTAGCTTTATAATGCCCACTCTTAAATCCAGTTTCACAATGCTCAGAGCTTTATCGTACGCGTCTGCGACCTATATAAACCCAAACACAATCCGAAATGATTTTAAAGGCTCTGCAAAGCAATCAAACTTACGCAATGAAAATAAATTAGACAATAAACGTAACAAACTTTTATATGAAATTGGATATCCGATTCTCCAGATGCTTGTCCATCTAGATTCTTTAATAAATATGAGTAAATTTCCGAGACTAGTAAAGAGTTGTAAAGTTGTTTGGAAGGAGGTTCTCAAAATCATTATACTAACTTTAAGAATTCAATTAACTACCATTCATCTTAAGATTTAATGGGCTATGGAAAAAGTTGGTAGAGACCAAGCATAACTACCATTATTCTTTCACTATTGCTTTCCGATGTAAAATTTAAAAAAAGGTAGACATCATGCGCAACTAGAAGAAACTCATGATTTGTAAGAAACAAAGTATGATTAGTGATGTTTAGGAGTTTTAACTGAGAACTAAAACAACATGTAACAGATCGGAGTATATATAACACTTTGGTTGTTCTAGCAACAAACAATAATCCACAAAAGAATAAGGACATCAACCTGCAACTAATTACAAAAGTAATTTAACAAAAAGTATTCATTCATTTAACCTTATCGATAGAATAACCCTCCTGATCGTAGTAATACTACCTCACTCCGAAAAAACTTCACTTTATACTTTAGGATTCTGAATATCAACTTTTCTTACATGAATTCTTTTTAGAATTCTTTTTAGAACTATGATCAATTTTAGTTGTTAACAAAAAATTCCAAGGATCATATATATATTTTAAACAAACAAACTTATAACTCACAATATCAAAAAAAAAAAAACTAATGCTTGCAGTAAAGTCTTTCTTCTCAATTACTACAGAATGAGAAGTTAGTTTTAAATTAATATTCTTTCTTCACTGTTTTCAAATGTAAAATTTCAAAACGGTAGACATAATAGAGCTTAACTGGAAAATAAACTCATGATTAGCAAGAAATGAAGTATGATCAGTGTTTGAAAAAATAAAATCCAAACTAAGCCAATCCGAGATAAGTTTAGACACACTGCAAATAATCACACTTATAATGTGAAAATAAAACATGAAAAGTACAACACTCACCTTAGCTTTATAATGCCCACTCCCAAATCCAGTTTCACAATGCTCAGAGCTTCGTCGTACGCGTCTGCGACCTATGTAAAGCCAAACACAAACCGGAATGATTTTAAACGCACCGCAGAAACTTCCGCAATGAAAATAAACAAACGGAAGATCCGAAATGATTTTAAATGAAGTCATAACATGGTATAACATTTGTTAATACCCACCACTCTATTTTTACACAGAAATATAATGACAAGAGGCGCCTAAAGAGAACCAAGGCATAACATATATATACACCTGCATTTATCATGTAACATCTCTCAAGCATCCAGCTTTTCCTCATCCAAGAGTGTGCTCTTGATTGCCTTCTCAGGATGGGCAAATCTCGGGTTACTAAAAGTCCAAAGCTTAACAACTGCAATGCCCATATAAAATTTTCCCATGTTGAGAAGGAATTGAAAAAGAGTAACACAATAACAAGGGAAAAAACATTAACAGGGTTCAGTTTCACGGTGAGACTTTTACCTTTAAAGCAGAGAAATAGTCCAGATCATTGTTAGTTTTGCAACCCTTCTAGTGAGTCCTGCCAAAAAAAGTCAAACTTGAAATGTTGCAAAGAATGTGCCTTAGCTTCCATGTTTGTGAACTTCCGCAAGAACTTTTAAGGTCCTGCAGATCAAGAAACAAAAGGTAATAGAAGCACACAAGTATGCCTGAAATTACAGCAACCTGAGCATCCACGAATCTACACAAGATGATAAATATAACTTAAGTGGCAAGTAAGATCATAAACAAAAGCACTGATTCAGGTTCCATGCTTTTAGAGTGTCTATGTTTTAATATCTGCTCCTGGAAGACAGCAAGGTATGTGTCATTAAACAGGGTCTGAACTATTGATGATCTAATTCGCAGTGTAATCTAGACAAGCATTTGTAATCATGCAACAAAAAATGCAGATAAAAATGTTCAAAGGAAAGTAAAAAAAAAAAAACTGAATCTGTGGCTATTGGTGGTGAAATGAAAGATAAAATAAATAGAAACAACAAAAAACAATAAATTATTTCTGGTGGGAGAAAACTTACAAAACAATTTAGTTGAATAATTTCAAAGACGTGCTTAACGCACTACTTCAGTGCCATGATTGTTGTTTTTTTTTTTGGCTTTTTTATTTTCTTTTTTTTATTCGTTTCGTTTTTTTTTCAGGTTTTTGTATCCATTTTTTCGTCAAAAACAATTTCTTCGGTACACGCCTTCCCTGTCCTGATTCCAATTTCGAACTCAAGACTTAACATTTCCTTTTCCTTTTCATTTAAAAGATTCAGGCTTCTTTGGCATTCCATCCAGTACAACACTTCTTATTTTGATCTCTCGTATTGGCCTTCATTTGTTCATCCTGTTCAGAAGGAAAATCAAAAGGCAGGAAAGATAAGTGCTAATGTTAGAATAGTAAACACAAGTATGATAAGTTTTTTATTGATACCACTTCAGAATTACATATGCACTTATGAAATGGTCTAACGTATGAGCCTATAATCACGTAAAATCATTTAGGGTCCCATCAGTCAAGCTCTCTATCGAAATTGAGTATTTGACTAATTATCTAATTGCATTCATGCTCATGTATGTACTGCTGAATAGGCTGTTAGTGATTGTGACATGAAGATCAAATCATTAGAAAGGAAAAATATATAACTTCTTGCTTGAAGAAGATAACTTACCGAACAATTTAGTTGCATAATTTCTAAACTATGCTTGGAACGTACTTCTTCTAGTGCACTTCCCATATACGTCCTGCCGAAATCTTATCTACTGCCTGAAAAGTAATGAACGGTCAAAGATAAGCAAAAAAGAAAAAGATATTATTAACCACTTTATAGTTTTCCAGGCTTGGGAACTTACTCTAGGAACTTGAACCTCAGATTTCTATCAAGAATGTGTTCCATCAAGGGGTACCATCAGCAGGTTCAAGCTATCACTGGCACCAATATGTGCTTACCAAGAATGATGCTGCTAGGTAAGACTTGGCGAAACATTTGGTGTTGGAGACTTCGGTTATCTCACGAAACTATACTCAGATTAGGCAAATCCGAATCATCCAGCCAGTAGACTATTCACATTTAGACCTTTTCGATTGGGCTTCTTTTGAATTAGTTTATCCTGTTCAGAAAAACAAAATCAATAGGCACAAAAGAAAAGTGTTCATGTAGGACTAGTAGTAGTAAACCAACGGAAGATAATTTCTTATTGATACCACGCAGGAATTATAACATGGTATAACACTTGTTAATACTCACCACTCTATTTTTAAACAGAAATATTATAACAAGAGGCGCCTAAAGAGAACAAAGGCATAACATATATATACACCTGCATTTGTCATGTAACATCTCTCAAGCATCCTGCATTTCTTCATCCAAGAGTGTGCTCTTGATTGCCTTCTCACGATGGGCAAATCTCGGGTTACTAAAAGTCCAAATCTTACAACTGCAATGCCCATATAAAATTTTCCCATGTTGAGAAGGAATAGAAAACAAATAATACATAACAACGGAAAAAACATTAACAGGGTTCACTTTCACCTTTAAAGCAGAGAAATGGTCCAGATCATTGTCAGTTTTGCAAACATTCTAGTGAGTCTTGCCAAAAAAAACGTCAAACTGGAATTCTTGCAATGAATGTGCCTAGGCTTCCATGATTGTGATCTTCCAAAAGAACTTTTAAGGTCCTGCAGAATCGAGAAACAAAAGGTAAAAGAAGCACACAACAAGTATGCCTGAAATTAAAGCAACCTGAGCATCCAAGAATCTACACAAAATGATAAATATAGCTGAAGAGGCCTGTAAGATGCGTACTGAATTGTCAAACAAATCTATCTTATGAAAAAGGATATGTACATGAAATTCCACCCCATTGGTGAAATTGCATACATGTTTCTCAACACAGAAACCAAGTATTAGTTATGACAATATATCAATGTCTCATAGTTCATGTAAGATCATAAACTAAAGCACTGATTCAACTTCCATGTTTCTAGAGTGTCTATGTTTTAATATCTGCTCCTGGAAGACAGTAAGTTATGTGTCACGAAACAGGGCCTGAACTATTGATGATCGAATGCGCAGTGTTATCTAGAGAAGCATATGTAATCATGTAACAAAAAGTGCAGATAAAAGTGTTCATAGGGAAGTAAGTAAAAAAAATAGAACTGCATATCACACAAAGCATATGTAATTGAGCAACAAAAAACTGAATCTGTGGCTATTGGTGGTGAAATGAAAGATCAAATAAGTAGAAACAACAAAAAACTATATATTATTTCTGGTGGGAGAAAACTTACAAAACAATTTAGTTGAATAATTTCAAAGCCTTGCTTAACGTATTATTTCAGTGCCATCACTCTACAAATAGCTCATTCCAAAACCTTCTATACTGCCTGAAAACAGAAAAGTAGTGAACGGTTAAAGATATACAAATATGAAAAATATACTAATGACTTATCTTTACTTTTACATGATTGATAAACTTACTTTAGGAACAATTGTTTTCGCAGGGCTAGGCTTTCACACCTCATGAACAAAGCAACAGCACTGGGACATGTGTTTTTGTTTTGTTTGTTTTTTTCGCCGTTTGTTTTTGTATTTGTTTTCTTTTTTTGTTTTTTTTTCTTTTTGCTTTTTTGTTTTCTATTTTTTTTTTTTTATCTTTTCTTTTTTTAGGTTTTTGTATCCATATTTTCATCAAAAACAATTTCATCGGTACACGCCTTTCCCTCTCCTGATGGCAATTTCGAACTCAAGATTTAACATTTCCTTTTCCTTTTCATTTAAAAGATTCAAGCTTCTTTGGCATTCCATCCAGTAGAACACTTCTTATTTTGATCTCAAGGCAGGAAAGATAAGTGCTAACGTAACAATAGTAAATACAAGAATGATATGTTATTTATTGATACCACTTCAGAATAACATATGCACTTATCAAATGGTCTAACGTATGAGCCTATAATCACGTAAAATCATTTAGGGTCCGGTCCCATCAGTTAGCTCTCTATCGAAAATTAGTATTTGACTAATTATCTAATTGCATTCATGTTCATGTTTGTATTGCTCAATAGGCTGTTAGTGATTGTGACATGATGATCAAATAATTAGAAAAGAAAAAATATATAACTTCTTGCTTGAGGGAGATGAATTACCGAACAATTTAGTTGCATAATTTCTAAACTATGCTTGGAACGTACTTCTTCTAGTGCCATCACTCCCCATATAACTCCTACCAAAATCTTCTCTACTGCCTGAAAAGCAGTGAACGGTCAAAGATATGCAAAAAAGAAAAAGATATTATGAACAACTTTACAGTTTTCCAGGCTTGACAAACTTACTCTAGGAACTTGAACCTCAGATTTCTAGCAAGACTGTGTCCCATCAAGGGGTACCATCAGCAGGTTCAAGCTATCACCGGCACCAATATGCGCTTACTAAGAATTCTGCTCTTGATCCAAGCTACCACCGGTATTTGTCATGTAACATCTCTCAAGCATCCTGCATTTCTTCATCCAAGAGTGTGCTCTTGATTGCCTTCTTCATCAGCAGGTTCAAGCTATCACCGGCACCAATATGCGCTTACTAAGAATTCTGCTCTTGATCCAAGCTACCACCGGTATTTGTCATGTAACATCTCTCAAGCATCCTGCATTTCTTCATCCAAGAGTGTGCTCTTGATTGCCTTCTCACGATGGGCAAATCTCGGGTTACTAAAAGTCCAAATCTTACAACTGCAATGCCCATATAAAATTTTCCCATTTTGAGAAGGAATAGAAAACGAATAATACAATAACAACGGAAAAAACATTAACAGGGTTCAGTTTCACCTTTAAAGCAGAAAAATGGTCCAGATCATTGTCAGTTTTGCAACCCTTCTAGTCACTCTTGCCAAAAAAACGTCAAACTGGAATTTTTGCAATGAATGTGCCTTGGCTTCCATGATTGTGAACTTCCGCAAGAACTTTTAAGGTCCTGCAGAATCAAGAAACAAAAGGTAAAAGAAGCACACAAGTATGCCTGATATTACAGTAACCTGAGCATCCACAAATCTACACAAAATGGTATATATAGCTCAAGAGGCAGGTGTAAGATGCTTACTGAATTGTCAAACAAATCTATCTTGTGAAAAAGGATATGTACATGAAATTCCACCCCATTGGTGAAATTGCATACACGTTTTTCAACACAGAAACCAACTATCAGTTATGACAATATATCAATGTCTCATACTTCATGTAAGATCATAAACAAAAGCACTGATTCAGGTTCCATGTTTCTAGAGTGTCTATGTTTTAATATCTGCTCCTGGAAGACAGTAAGGTATGTGTCATGAAACAGGGCCTGAACTATGGATGATCTAATTCGCTGTGTAATCTAGAGAAGCATATGTAATCATGCAACAAAAAATGCAGATAAAAATGTTCAAAGGGAAGTAAAAAAAATAGAACTGCATATCACACAAAGCTTATGTAATTGAGCAACAAAAAACTGAATCTTTGGCTATTGGTGGTGAAATGAAAGATCAAATAAGTAGAAACAACAAAAAACTATAAATTATTTCTGGTGGGAGAAAACTTACAAAACAATTTAGTTGAATAATTTCAAAGCCTTGCTTACCGTACTACTTCAGTGCCATTACTCTACAAATAGCTCATTCCAGAACCTTCTCTACTGCCTGAAAACTGAAAAGTAGTGAACGGTTAAAGATATACAAATATGAAAAATATACTAATGACTTCTTTATTTTTCCACGATTGATAAACTTACTTTAGGAACAATTGTTTTCGCAGGGCTAGGCTTTTACACCTCATGAACAAAGCAACAGCACTGGGACATGTGTTTTTGTTTTGTTTTTTTTTTCGACTTTTATTTTGTATTTTGTTTTCTTTTTTTTTTTTGCTTTTCTGTTTTCTTTTTTTTTTTTTGCTTTTTTGTTTTCTTTTTTTGTTTTTTTGCTTTTTTGTTTTCTTTTTTTTTTTTGCTTTTTTGTTTTCTGTTTTTTTTTGTTCTTTTCTTTTTTTAGATTTTTGTATCCATTTTTTCGTCAAAAACAATTTCATCGGTACACGCCTTCCCTCCCGTAATGGCAATTTCGAACTCAAGATTAGCATTTCGTTTTCCTTTTCATGAAAAAGATTCAGGCTTCATTGGCGTTCCATCCAGTAGAACACTTCTTATTTTGATCTCTCGTATTGGCCTTCATTTGTTTATACTGTTCAGAAGGAAAATCAAAAGGCAGGAAAGATAAGTGCTAATGCAAGAATAGTAAACACAAGAATGATAAGTTTTTTATTGATACCACTTCAGAATAACATATGCACTTATGAAATGGTCTAACGTATGAGCCTATAATCACGTAAAATCATTTAGGGTCCCATCAGTCAAGCTCTCTATCAAAATTTAGTACTTGACTAATTATCTAATTCACTAATTGCATTCATGCTCATGTTTGTACTGCTGAATAGGCTGTTAGTGATTGTGAAATGAAGATAAAATAATTAGAAAAGAAAAAATATAACTTCTTGCTTGAGGGAGATAACTTACCGAACATTTTAGTTGCATAATTTCTAAACTATGCTTGGAACGTACTTCTTCCAGTGCCATCACTCCCCATATAACTCCTACCGAAATCTTCTCTACTGCCTGAAAAGCAGTGAACGGTCAAAGCTATGCAAATAAGAAAAATATATTATTAACCACTTTATAGTTTTCCAGGCTTGACAAACTTACTCTAGGAACTTGAACCTCAGATTTCTAGCAAGACTGTGTCCCATCAAGGGGTACCATCAGCAGGTTCAAGCTATCACTGGCACCAATATGTGCTTACCAAGAATTCTGCTGCTAGGTAAGACTTGGCGAAACATTTGGTGATGAGACTTCGGTTTCTCACGAAACTATACTCAGATTAGGCAAATCCGAATCATCCAGCCAGTAGACTACACACATTTGGACCTTTTCGATTGGGCTACTTTTGAATTAGTTTATCCTGTTTAGAAAAACAAAATCAATAGGCACAAAAGAAAAATGTTCATGTAGGACTAGTAATAGTAAACAAACGGAAGATAATTTTTTATTGATACAACTCAGGAATTATAACATGGTATAACACTTGTTAATACCCACCATTCTATTTTTAAACAGAAATATTATGACTAGAGGCGCCTAAAAAGAACAAAGGCATAACATATATATACACCTGCATTTATCATGTAGCAACTCTCAAGCATCTTGCGTTTCTTCATCCCAGAGTGTGCTCTTGATTACCTTCTCACGATGGGCAAATCTCGGGTTACTAAAAGCCCAAATCTTACAACTGCAATGCCCATATAAAATTTTCCCATGTTGAGAAGGAATAGAAAATGAATAATACAATAACAACGGAAAAAACATTAACAGGGTTCAGTTTGACCTTTAAAGCAGAGAAATGGTCCAGATCATTGTCAGTTTTGCAACCCTTTAGTGACTCTTGCCAAAAAACGTCAAACTGGAATTCTTGCAATGAATGTGCACAATTGTGTTCGCATGGATAGGCTTTCACACGTCATGAACAAAGCAACAGCACTGGGACATAAGTTTTTGTTTTTTTTTTATTTCACCTTTTTTTTGTATTTGTTTTCTTTTTTTTGGTTTTCTATTTTTTTTTTTTTGCTTTTTTGTTCTCTATTCTTTTTTTTTGCTTTTCTGTTTTCTTTTTTTTTGTTCTTTTCTTTTTTTTTTTAGATTTTTGTATCCATTTTTTCGTCAAAAACAATTTCATCGGTACACGCATTCCCTCTCCTAATGCAATTTCCAACTCAAGATTTAACATTTCCTTTTCCTTTTCATTTAAAAGATTCAGGCTTCATTGGCATTCCATCCAGTAGAACACTTCTTATTTTGATCTCTCATATTGGCCTTCATTTGTTCATCCTGTTCAGAAGGAAAATCACAAGGCAGGAAAGATAAGTGCTAATTTTAGAATAGTAAACACAAGGATGATAAGTATTTTATTGAAACCACTTCAGAATTACATATGCACTTATGAAATGATCTAACGTATGAGCCTATAATCACTAAAAATCATTTAGGGTCCCATCAGTCAAGCTCTCTATCGAAATTTAGTATTGGACTAATTATCTAATTGCATTCATGCTCATGATTGTACAACTGAATGGGCTGTTAGTGATTGTGACATGCAGATCAAATAATTAGAAAGGAAAAAATATATAACTTCTTGCTTGATGGAGATGACTCACCGAACAATTTAGTTGCATAATTTCTAAACTGTGCTTGGAACGTACTTCTTCTAGTGCCATCACTCCCCATATAACTCCTGCCGAAATCTTCTCTACTCCCTGAAAAGCAGTGAACGGTCAAAGATATGCAAAAAAGAAAAAGATATTATTAACCACTTTACAGTTTTCAATGCTTGCCAAACTTACTCTAGGAACTTGAACCTCAGATTTCTAGCAAGACTGTGTCCCATCAGCAGGTTCAAGCTATCACTGGCACCAATATGTGCTTACCAAGAATTCTGCTGCTAGGTAAGACTTGGCGAAACATTTGGTGATGAGACTTCGGTTTCTCACGAAACTATACTCAGATTAGGCAAATCCGAATCATCCAGCCAGTAGACTACACACATTTGGACCTTTTCGATTGGGCTACTTTTGAATTAGGTTATCCTGTTTAGAAAAACAAAATCAATAGGCACAAAAGAAAAATGTTCATGTAGGACTAGTAATAGTAAACAAACGGAAGATAATTTTTTATTGATACAACTCAGGAATTATAACATGGTATAACACTTGTTAATACCCACCATTCTATTTTTAAACAGAAATATTGTGACTAGAGGCGCCTAAAAAGAACAAAGGCATAACATATATATACACCTGCATTTATCATGTAACAACTCTCAAGCATCTTGCGTTTCTTCATCCCAGAGTGTGCTCTTGATTGCCTTCTCACGATGGGCAAATCTCGGGTTACTAAAAGTCCAAATCTTACAACTGCAATGCCCATATAAAATTTTCCCATGTTGAGAAGGAATAGAAAATGAATAATACAATAACAACGGAAAAAACATTAACAGGGTTCCGTTTGACCTTTAAAGCAGAGAAATGGTCCAGATCATTGTCAGTTTTGCAACCCTTTAGTGACTCTTGCAGAAAAACGTCAAACTGGAATTCTTGCAATGAATGTGCACAATTGTTTTCGCATGGATAGGCTTTCACACCTCATGAACAAAGCAACAGCACTGGGACATAAGTTTTTGTTTTTTTTATTTCACCTTTTTTTTGTATTTGTTTTTTTTTTTGGTTTTCTATTTTTTTTTTTTTTTTGCTTTTTTGTTCTCTTTTCTTTTTTTTTGCTTTTCTGTTTTCTTTTTGACCTTTAAAGCAAAAAGATTTAAGGTATTTTCTGTTTTCTTTTCTTTTTTTTTAGGTTTTTGTATCCATTTTTTCGTCAAAAACAATTTCATCGGTACACGCCTTCCCTCTCCTAATGCAATTTCGAACTCAAGATTTAACATTTCCTTTTCCTTTTCATTTAAAAGATTCAGGCTTCATTGGCATTCCATCCAGTAGAACACTTCTTATTTTGATCTCTCGTATTGGCCTTCATTTGTTCATCCTGTTCAGAAGGAAAATCACAAGGCAGGAAAGATAAGTGCTAATTTTAGAATAGTAAACACAAGGATGATAAGTATTTTATTGATACCACTTCAGAATTACATATGCACTTATGAAATGATCTAACGTATGAGCCTATAATCATTTAAAATCATTTAGGGTCCCATCTGTCAAGCTCTCTATCGAAATTTAGTATTGGACTAATTATCTAATTGCATTCATGCTCATGATTGTACAGCTGAATGGGCTGTTAGTCATTGTGACATGAAGATCAAATAATTAGAAAGGAAAAAATATATAACTTCTTGCTTGATGGAGATGACTTACCGAGCAATTTAGTTGCATAATTTCTAAACTATGCTTGGAACGTACTTCTTCTAGTGCCATCACTCCCCATATAACTCCTGCCGAAATCTTCTCTACTCCCTGAAAAGCAGTGAACGGTCAAAGATATGCAAAAAAGAAAAAGATATTATTAACCACTTTACAGTTTTCCAGGCTTGTCAAACTTACTCTAGGAACTTGAACCTCAGATTTCTAGCAAGACTGTGTCCCATCAAGGGGTACCCATCAGCAGGTTCAAGCTATCACTGGCACCAATATGTGCTTACCAAGAATTCTGCTGCTAGGTAAGACTTGGCGAAACATTTGGTGATGAGACTTCGGTTTCTCACGAAACTATACTCAGATTAGGCAAATCCGAATCATCCAGCCAGTAGACTACACACATTTGGACCTTTTCGATTGGGCTACTTTTGAATTAGTTTATCCTGTTTAGAAAAACAAAATCAATAGGCACAAAAGAAAAATGTTCATGTAGGACTAGTAATAGTAAACAAACGGAAGATAATTTTTTATTGATACAACTCAGGAATTATAACATGGTATAACACTTGTTAATACCCACCATTCTATTTTTAAACAGAAATATTATGACTAGAGGCGCCTAAAAAGAACAAAGGCATAACATATATATACACCTGCATTTATCATGTAACAACTCTCAAGCATCTTGCGTTTCTTCATCCCAGAGTGTGCTCTTGATTACCTTCTCACGATGGGCAAATCTCGGGTTACTAAAAGCCCAAATCTTACAACTGCAATGCCCATATAAAATTTTCCCATGTTGAGAAGGAATAGAAAATGAATAATACAATAACAACGGAAAAAACATTAACAGGGTTCAGTTTGACCTTTAAAGCAGAGAAATGGTCCAGATCATTGTCAGTTTTGCAACCCTTTAGTGACTCTTGCCAAAAAACGTCACACTGGAATTCTTGCAATGAATGTGCACAATTGTGTTCGCATGGATAGGCTTTCACACGTCATGAACAAAGCAACAGCACTGGGACATAAGTTTTTGTTTTTTTTATTTCACCTTTTTTTTGTATTTGTTTTCTTTTTTTTGGTTTTCTATTTTTTTTTTTTTGCTTTTTTGTTCTCTATTCTTTTTTTTTTGCTTTTCTGTTTTCTTTTTTTTTGTTCTTTTCTTTTTTTTTTAGGTTTTTGTAACCATTTTTTCGTCAAAAACAATTTCATCGGTACACGCATTCCCTCTCCTAATGCAATTTCGAACTCAAGATTTAACATTTCCTTTTCCTTTTCATTTAAAAGATTCAGGCTTCATTGGCATTCCATCCAGTAGAACACTTCTTATTTTGATCTCTCATATCGGCCTTCATTTGTTCATCCTGTTCAGAAGGAAAATCACAAGGCAGGAAAGATAAGTGCTAATTTTAGAATAGTAAACACAAGGATGATAAGTATTTTATTGAAACCACTTCAGAATTACATATGCACTTATGAAATGATCTAACGTATGAGCCTATAATCACTTAAAATCATTTAGGGTCCCATCAGTCAAGCTCTCTATCGAAATTTAGTATTGGACTAATTATCTAATTGCATTCATGCTCATGATTGTACAGCTGAATGGGCTGTTAGTGATTGTGACATGCAGATCAAATAATTAGAAAGGAAAAAATATATAACTTCTTGCTTGATGGAGATGACTCACCGAACAATTTAGTTGCATAATTTCTAAACTATGTTTGGAACGTACTTCTTCTAGTGCCATCACTCCCCATATAACTCCTGCCGAAATCTTCTCTACTCCCTGAAAAGCAGTGAACGGTCAAAGATATGCAAAAAAGAAAAAGATATTATTAACCACTTTACAGTTTTCAATGCTTGCCAAACTTACTCTAGGAACTTGAACCTCAGATTTCTAGCAAGACTGTGTCCCATCAAGGGGTACCCATCAGCAGGTTCAAGCTATCACTGGCACCAATATGAGCTTACCAAGAATTCTGCTGCTAGGTAAGACTTGGCGAAACATTTGGTGATGAGACTTCGGTTTCTCACGAAACTATACTCAGATTAGGCAAATCCGAATCATCCAGCCAGTAGACTACACACATTTGGACCTTTTCGATTGGGCTACTTTTGAATTAGTTTATCCTGTTTAGAAAAACAAAATCAATAGGCACAAAAGAAAAATGTTCATGTAGGACTAGTAATAGTAAACAAACGGAAGATAATTTTTTATTGATACAACTCAGGAATTATAACATGGTATAACACTTGTTAATACCCACCATTCTATTTTTAAACAGAAATATTGTGACTAGAGGCGCCTAAAAAGAACAAAGGCATAACATATATATACACCTGCATTTATCATGTAACAACTCTCAAGCATCTTGCGTTTCTTCATCCCAGAGTGTGCTCTTGATTGCCTTCTCACGATGGGCAAATCTCGGGTTACTAAAAGTCCAAATCTTACAACTGCAATGCCCATATAAAATTTTCCCATGTTGAGAAGGAATAGAAAATGAATAATACAATAACAACGGAAAAAACATTAACAGGGTTCAGTTTGACCTTTAAAGCAGAGAAATGGTCCAGATCATTGTCAGTTTTGCAACCCTTTAGTGACTCTTGCCAAAAAAACGTCAAACTGGAATTCTTGCAATGAATGTGCACAATTGTTTTCGCATGGATAGGCTTTCACACCTCATGAACAAAGCAACAGCACTGGGACATAAGTTTTTGTTTTTTTTTATTTCACCTTTTTTTTGTATTTGTTTTCTTTTTTTTTGGTTTTCTATTTTTTTTTTTTTTGCTTTTTTGTTCTCTTTTCTTTTTTTTTGCTTTTCTGTTTTCTTTTTTTTGTTCTTTTCTTTTTTTTTAGGTTTTTGTATCCATTTTTTCGTCAAAAACAATTTCATCGGTACACGCCTTCCCTCTCCTAATGCAATTTCGAACTCAAGATTTAACATTTCCTTTTCCTTTTCATTTAAAAGATTCAGGCTTCATTGGCATTCCATCCAGTAGAACACTTCTTATTTTGATCTCTCGTATTGGCCTTCATTTGTTCATCCTGTTCAGAAGGAAAATCACAAGGCAGGAAAGATAAGTGCTAATTTTAGAATAGTAAACACAAGGATGATAAGTATTTTATTGATACCACTTCAGAATTACATATGCACTTATGAAATGATCTAACGTATGAGCCTATAATCATTTAAAATCATTTAGGGTCCCATCAGTCAAGCTCTCTATCGAAATTTAGTATTGGACTAATTATCTAATTGCATTCATGCTCATGATTGTACAGCTGAATGGGCTGTTAGTCATTGTGACATGAAGATCAAATAATTAGAAAGGAAAAAATATATAACTTCTTGCTTGATGGAGATGACTTACCGAACAATTTAGTTGCATAATTTCTAAACTATGCTTGGAACATACTTCTTCTAGTGCCATCACTCCCCATATAACTCCTGCCGAAATCTTCTCTACTCCCTGAAAAGCAGTGAACGGTCAAAGATATGCAAAAACAAAAAAGATATTATTAACCACTTTACAGTTTTCCAGGCTTGCCAAACTTACTCTAGGAACTTGAACCTCAGATTTCTAGCAAGACTGTGTCCCATCATGGGGTATCATCATCAGGTTCAAGCTATCACTCGCACCAATATGTGCTTACCAAGAATTCTGCTGCTAGGTAAGACTTGGCAAAATATTTGGTGTTGGAGACTTCGGTTATCTGACGAAACTATACTCAGATTAGGCAAATCCGAATCATCCAGCCAGTAGACAACTCACAATTGGACCTTTTAGATTGGGCTTCTTTTGAATTAGTTTATCCTGTTCAGAAAAACAAAATTAATAGGCACAAAAGAAAATTATTCATGTAGGACTAGTAATAGTAAACAAACGGAAGATAATTTCTTATTGATACCACTTCAGGAATTATAACATGGTATAACACTTGTTAATACACACCACTCTATTTTTAAACAGAAAAATATTATGACAAGAGGCGCCTAAAGAGAACAAAGGCATAACATATATATACACCTGCATTTATCATGTAACATCTCTCAAGCATCCTGCATTTCTTCATCCAAGAGTGTGCTCTTGATTGCCTTCTCATGATGGGCAAATCTCGGGTTACTAAAAGTCCAAATCTTACAACTGCAATGCCCATATAAAATTTTCCCATGTTGAGAAGGAATACAAAACTAATAATACAATAACAAGGGAAAAAACATTAAAAGGGTTCAGTTTCACCTTTAAAGCAGAGAAATGGTCCAGATCATTGTCAGTTTAGCAACCCTTCTAGTGACTCTTGCCAAAGAAACGTCAAACTGGATTTCGTGCAATGAATGTGCCTTGGCTTCCATGATTGTGAACTTCCACAAGAACTTATAAGGTCCTGACAAAGAGAGAAACAAAAGGTAATAGAAGCAAACAACAAGTATGCGTGAAATTACAGCAACCAGACCATTTACAAATCTACACAAGATGATAAATATAGCGTAAGAGGCAGGTGTAAGATGCGTACTGAATTGTCAAACAAATATATCTTATGAAAAAGGATATGTACATGAAATTCCACCCCATTGGTGAAATTGCATACATGTTTCTCAACACAGAACCCGACTATCGGTTATGACAATATATCAATGTCTCATACTTCAGGTAAGATCATAAACAAAAGTACTGATTCAGGTTCCATGTTTCTAGAGTGTCTATGTTTTAATATCTGCTCCTGGAAGACAGTAAGGTATGTGTCATGAAACAGGGACTGAACTATTGATGATCTAATTCGCAGTGTAATCTAGAGAAGCACATGTAATAATGCAACAAAAATGCAGATAAAAATGTCCACAGGAAAGTAAAAAAATAGAACCGCATATCACACAAAGCATATGTAATTTAGCAATAAAAAACTGAATCTGTGGCTATTGGTGGTGAAATGAAAGCTCAAATAAATTGAAACAACAAAAAACTATAAATTATTTCTGGTGGGAGAAAACTTACAAAACAATTTAGTTGAATTATTTCAAAGCCTTGCTTAACGTACTAGTTCAGTGCCATCACTCTATAAATAGCTCATTCCAAAACCTTCTCTGCTGCCTGAAAACAGAAAAGTAGTGAACGGTTAAAGATATGCAAATATAAAAAGTATACTAATGACTTATCTTTACATTTCCACGATTGATAAACTTACTTTAGGAACAATTGTTTTCGCAGGGCTAGGCTTTCACACCTCATGAATAAAGCAACAGCACAGGGAAATGTGTTTTTGTTTTGTTTTTTTCGCCTTTTTTTGTATTTGTTTTCTTTTTTGTTTTCTTTTTTTTTTGGCTGTTTTATTTTCTTTTTTATTTGTTCTTTTCTTTATTTTATAGGTTTTTGTATCCATTTCTTCGTCAAAAACAATTTCTTCGATACACGCCTTCCCTATCCTGATGGCAAATTCGAACTCAAGATTTAACAGTTCCTTTTCCTTTTTTCATTTAAAAGATTCAGGCTTCTTTGGCATTCTATCCAGTAGAACAATAGTTATTTTGATCTCTCGTATTGGCCTTCATTTGTTCATCCTGTTCAGAAGGAAAATCACAAGGCAGGAAAGATAAGTGTTAATGTAAGAATAGTAAACACAAGAATGATAAGTTTTTTATTGATACCACTTCAGAATTACATATGCACTTATGAAATGGTCTAACGTATGAGCTTATAATCACGTAAAATCATTTAGGGTCCCATCAGTCAAGCTCTCTATCAAAATTTAGTACTTGACTAATTATCTAATTGCATTCAAGCTCATGATTGTACACCTGAATAGGCTGTAAGTGATTGTGACATGAAGATCAAATAATTAGAAAGGAAAAAATACATAACTTCTTGCTTGAGGGAGATGACTTACCGAACAATTTGGTTGCATAATTTCTAAACTATGCTTGGAACGTACTTCTTCTAATGCCATCACTCCCCATATAACTCCTGCCGAAATCTTCTCTACTGCCTGAAAAGCAGTGAACGGTCAAAGAGATGCAAAAAAGAAAAAGATATTATGAACCACTTTATTGTTTTCCAGGCTTGCCAAACTTACTCTAGGAACTTGAACCTCAGATTTCTAGCAAGACTGTGTCCCATCAAGGGGTACCATCAGCAGGTTCAAGCTATCACTCGCACCATTATGTGCTTACCAAGAATTCAGTTGACATTTCTGCTGCTTGGTAAGGACTTGGCGAAACATTTGGTGTTGGAGACTTCGGTTATCTCACGATACTATACTCAGATTAGACAAATCCGAATTATCCGGCCAGTAGACTACTCACATTTGGACCTTTTCGATTGGGCTTCTTTTGAATTAGTTTATCCTGTTCAAAAAAACAAAAACAATTGGCACAAAAGAAAAGTATTCATGTAGGACTAGTAATAGTAAACAAACGGAATATAATTTCTTATTGATACCACTTAGTTATTATAACATGGTAAAACACTTGTTAATACCCACCACTCTATGTTTAAACTGAAAAATATTATGACAAGGGGCGCCTAAAGAGAACAAAGGCATAACATATATATACACCTGCATTTATCATGTAACATCTCTCAAGCATCCTGCATTTCTTCATCCAAGAGTGTTCTGTTGATTGCCTTCTCACGATGGGCAAATCTCGGGTTACTAAAAGTCCAAATCTTACAACTGCAATGCCCATATAAAATTTTCCCATGTTAAGAAGGAATAGAAAACAAATAATACAATAACAAGGGAAAAAACATTAACAGGGTTCAATTTCACCTTTATAGCAGAGAAATGGTCCAGATCATTGTCAGTTTTGCAACACTTCTAGTGACTCTTGCCAGAAAAACGTCAAACTGGAATTCTTGCCATGAATGTGCCTTGGCTTCCATGATTGTGATATTCCGCAAGAGCTTTTAAGGTCCTGCAGAATCAAGAAACAAAAGGTAAAAAGAAGCACACAACAAGTATGCCTGAAATTACAACAAACTGAGCATCCTGGAGCATCCTACAATATATCAATGTGTCATACTTCATGTAAGATCATAAACAAAATCACTGATTCAGGTTCCAGGTTTCTAGAGTGTCTATGTTTTAATATCTGCTCCTGGAAGACAGTAAGGTATGTGTCATGAAATAGGACCTGAACTATTGATGATCTAATTCGCAGTGTAATCTGGAGAAGTATATGTAATCATGCAAAAAAAATGTAGATAAAAATGTTCAAAGGGAAGTAAAAAAAAATAGAACTGCATATCACACAAAGCATATGTAATTGAGCAACAAAAAACTGAATCTGTGGCTATTGGTGGTGAAATGAAAGATCAAATAAATAGAAACAACAAAAAACTATAAATTATTTGTGGTGGGAGAAAACTTACAAAACAATTTGGTTGAATAATTTCAAACCCTTGCTTTACGTACTACTTCAGTGCCATCACTCGACAAATAGGTCATTCCAAAACCTTATCTACTGCCTGAAAACTGAAAAGTAGTGAACTGATAAAGATATGCAAATATGAATAATATACTAATGACTTATCTTTACTTTTCCACGATTGATAAACTTACTTTAGGAACAATTGTTTTTGAAGGGCTAGGGTTTCACACCCGCGGAAGGTGAGACTGCTGACCTGATGGTCTCGAAGCATTCTTCTTGGCAGACCCATAGGTGTCGGCCATTTCATTTCTGCGATTGCTTCGCAGGCGGATGGTCGATTGAGCTTTGCACATGCAGAGGGTGACGGCTGACGGATGCGGAAGGACCTAATGGCCTCTCGAGGATGTCAAAAGAGCCGTTGGAGTGGTAATATATCAAAAGATCCGTGGAAGATATCGGAAGATGCGTAATATATTTTGGAGATCCGTATAACAAACTACGGGGCAAATTATATTCGGGGATGTGTAATATTTTCTCCCTTCTTAAATAATAAATGTAACGGTCAACATTTCACACTTGGCGAGACACAATTTTGACCATTAATATAAATGATTTTTATTAGTAAAAAAATTAAAAAAATTAGATTATGAAAATTACAATGAGACAAGTTTAACAATATTTTTTTCATAAAATAATATTATTACATTAATAAATAAAACGAAGTCAAAGTAGAACATGTGAATAGTATAAAAGTCAAAGTGTTGCATTTATTTAAGAACGGAGGTATTATAATATTTGGTATAAAATGTGTGTAGTATACATGTCCCAATGGTTTCAATAAATAAAAACAAGCTTGCACCCTTCTATCGATTCTTCTTTGTCACAGCAAGTCTTCAATCGTCTTTTTTTCCTTCATCACCCTTTGCTCGTTCTCACGCACACACTGCTTCATCTCTTAATTGTCGCCCACTCGTAATTACAAAGAATTGAAATTGTGGTTCGTTGTCTCTAGGTTGAACGCACGTGGTGTGTGACAACAAACTAAATTTATTTTATGTTTACAAAAGACCAAAACCAAATATATTTCGTTCTCTTTGCATTCAAAATCTCTTTTATCCATCCAAAATAATATAAATGCATTAGAGAGAAGAGAAAGAAACTAACCTCAAACTAAGTTTTTTATCTTACAACTTGCAAGTGCAGCAACACATACTACATATGATCACAATTACATTTAAATTTGAGAAAACTCTCAAATAGGCCCTCGTACTTTGGTCAATTCCTCAATTAAGCCCTCGTAGTTCCGAATCACCCAATCAAGTCCGCGTACTCAACAAAAACACCCAATCTGCCTTTTTAGCCGGTAGACGCCCGGTTAGTTAGTTAATGGCTGACATGGACTCCAACGTGTCCCTCCCTTACCGGGCATTTAATCTGACTTGGCTTTTCCCCACTTCAAAGCCTAAACGTTTGTAAAAATCCCCGAAACCCCAAATTCCCAAATTCCCCACTTCAAAGTTGGCACCTTCTCCTTCTCCCTTCATATTGAGGCCTTCGCAAGTATGTCGTCTTCATCATCATCTACGCTTCTTGAAGTTTTCTGAATATTATTTCCTTGAATTTATTTACAAGAAGTACATAAGCTATTGATACAGATAAGAATCCTGAGAGAGTCTATTCAGCACCCTAGGTGACTGTCTAAATAAGGAAAATAAATCCTAGATTAATGATGTCTCTTCGTTTTATCAACACTCCCCCTCAAGCTAGGTTTGTAGATATTCGTCATGCCTAGCTTGACAATAAGACCCTGGAACCTAGGACTGTGCAGAGGTTTGGTAAACACATCTGCAACTTGATCTTCTGAGGGAGTGTAGCTTAGTTCGATCAGACCTTCTTCAACCTTTTCTTTGATAAAGTGCCTATCAATCTCAATATGCTTGGTCCGATCATGTTGGACTGGATTATGAGCTATGTTGATTGATGATTTGTTATCACACCTCAATTCCATTGGTCCTTTCCACTTGATTTGTAAATCTAAGAGAATAATTCTGATCCATAGAAGTTCACATAAGCCATGGGCAAGAGCTCTTAGCTCAGATTCAGCAGATGATCGTGCCACAACCTTCTGTTTTTTGCTTCTCCATGTCACGAGGTTTCCTGCTAGGAAAACACAGAGACCAGTAGTTGACTGGCGGTCAACGAGGGAGCCACCATAATCTGCATCAGTGAAGGCTTGGACTGATAATTGCCCACCCTTCCTGAATAATATCCCTTGCCCTGGACTTCCGTTTAGGTAGTGAAGAACCCTATAGGCTGCTTCTAGATGTGGTTTCCTTGGATCATGCGAGAACTGACTCAAAACACTAACTGCATAGGCAATGTCAGGTCTAGTATGAGAGAGATAGATAAGTTTGCCACACAAGCGCTGATACATTGATGAATCAACCTTGGGTTCATTTATTAAAGTGTGTTGCGTCGTTTATTTATTGTATACGTTATATATTTTAATGATTTGGAAAATTTCCATTAACATGTTAATGTGTACAGGTTGGGAGTTGCGGTTTTTCTTATGGAAGGAAGATGTAGGCACACGACACATTGTGAGGGCTGAAGAAAAGAAGAATATGGCAGGGCTGAAGCGAAGAGCGAAAGTGCAGATGATTTGAAAAAATGGTCGAAGGACTTGTCCTAAAGATTTCGTTAGTACAATTGATGTTGGTTAAGTCAAAACTGTTGTTGACAATGAGGCGAAGGTCAACAAACAGAGTAGGAAGTTGTATGAGTTTACTATGATTGTACTTCTTGCTTTAGTAGGTAGTGTGTATTTGAGGATGTAAGCTTGGAACAATGTGTACTGTTTTAAAATTTCTTAGTAATGCAATGGATTTGAATGCCAGAAGTTGTATGGCACAATGTTCCTTTATTTAATTATAAAGAACTTGGTTGTTTGGGGAGCTCTCCTGTACATCCGTGTTATAGCACAAATTATACCGTGAGATCAGTATAACTTCTGCATGGTATACCGGTCCCAATACGACGTCGTTTCAATAAATAAAAACAAGGTCGCACCCTCCTATTGATTCTTCTCTGTCACTGCAAGTCTGCAATCGTCGTTTTTACTTCATCACCCTTCGCTCGTTCCCACGCACACACTACTTCATCACTCAATTGTCGCCCACCAGTAATTACAAAGAATTGAAATTGTGGTTCATTGACTCTAGGTTGAACACACGTGGTGTGTGACAACAAACTAAATTTACTTTATGTTTCCACAAGATCACAATTACATTTTAATTACTATAATATATTCCTTTACTTCTTTTAAAAGTTTTAGTGTTTTCTAAGACATTAAATTTGTTTATTTCGATTTACATTTATCAAACAGGAAATTACATCTTCTTATGAAAAATTTACATTTTTCATGTGTAGGAGTTACATCTTTTTATAAGCGAGTTACATCTTCTTATGCGCGAGTTACATCTTTTTCGTTTGCTTTTTCTTCTGCTTTATTTTCCTTTTCTTCAATTCTTTTCTCCTCCTCCATCAAAATACTAAAAATTTAATTGTATTACTTTAATTTACTTTTATCTTCAACTTAAATTATCACTCAATCTATTTTTGTATAAATTCATAATAAAAAATTTATTAATTTAAATGAAAAGTGTATTGCATTTCATATTCATACACTATTTTTATCTTTGTAACTTTTTTATTCATACACTTATAATATACTTGTATATTTAATCTCATTTATATCTTTTAGAGAGTTTTAAGACATTGAGTTGTTTATTATAGTCAAAAGTACCTTTTGTTGATTGATTTAAAATCTTGGAATCTGATTATAGTCACTGATTGATTTAAAATCTTGGAATCTTAAATTGATCCAATCGTACTGAGCTTTAGGCAAAAGTACCTTTTGTTGATTGTCATACCTCTCCTCTAAATTGTCTCATAATTCTTTTGGGTCATCAACCAAAGATATTCAGATTTGAGACTTTCATGAAGATGGTGACGGAGAAAAATTATAGTTTTCGCTTTATCCTGGGAAGATGATTGATTAATAGCCTCAATAGTGTCTCCGAGACTATTAGCCTTCAAATGTGCTAAAGCATCAACTTTCCATTCCAAATATTTTTGACCGGACAAATCAAGAACGTCGAATTCTCTTTTGCTAATATTTGTCATACTACAAAATTATTATTTTAAACTTAATTAGAAATGTGGAGTAAATTAACAAGAACTCTTATTTTGAGACTTTCATATTATTTTACTCCTATTTAGGGCAATAACTTTAGAAATATTGGTATTTACATTTTAGAATTATTAAGTAATAACACTAATATGTAAATATTATTAAATGACCTATTTTATCATTATATGTGTAATATAGTTGGCACAAATAAAATTCATTGATTTGTTCAAATTATTACTACGTACAACGGTTCAACTTATTACATTCCTTATTGCCATTATTAGTATTATTAATTAACTAATTTTAAGACAAATTAAAATTAAAGGCTTGTGAGGAGAAAAGTTATCTACTGCTCCGTATCACATCTATCATTATTTTAAAATAGTCTTCGATCCCAAGTCCTAACAATCAACTGACATCTCATTTTGTTGGGCATGAATGAGATGCAAAAGCAGCTTGAATCGGATATGTAGACGCTGGATACTTATCAGATCCTCAAAAGGCGAAATCACAAACCGGGTACGTATTTACTTATGGTAACACCGCAATCTCATGGAGATCTATGAAGCAGACATTGACAACTATATCATCAAATCATTCAGAGTTAATTGCATTATATGAATCCGGAAGAGAATGTGTGTGGCTGCGGTCTATGATTCAACACATCCAAAATGAATGCGGTATGAAACCTATTACTTGTCACCCGACTGTGATCTACGAAGACAACATTGAGTGCATAGCTCAGATTAAAGAAGGCTACATCAAAGGAGACACAACAAAATACATATCACCAAAGTTCTTTTCTACTCATGATCTGGAGAAAAAAGGGACGATCAACATTCAACAAATCAGATCTAGTGAAAATCCGGCTGATCTCTTCACCAAATCTTTACCCCGATAAAGTTCATAGAACTTGGATATCTGATTCTCCAGATGCTTGGTCATCTAGATTTTTTAATAAATATGAGTAAATTTCTAAGACCAGTAAAGAGTTGTAGTTGTTGGGAAGGAGGTTCTCAAAATCATTATACTAACTTAAAGAATTCATATAACTACCATTTATCTTAAGATTTGATGAGCTTTGGAAAGAGTTGGTAGAGACCAAGCATAACTACCATTATTCTTTCACTATTGTGTTTAAATCTAAAATTTAAAAAAAAGTAGACATCAAGCCCAACTAGAAAAAAATCATGATTTGTAAGAAACGAAGTATGATTAGTGCTATTTAGGAGTTTTTAACTGATAACTAAAACAGCATGTAACAGATCGGAGTATATATAACACTTTGGTTATTCTAGCAACAAA